CCAGGGAGCACTCGACGTCCCTCCTGTCTGTAGGAGGGTCCGTCAAAACAAAACCACTCCCGGCAAGCTTGGACATCGTTGCAGCAAGCGGGTCCGCGCACTCATGACCGAAGGCCAGAAATTTCGAGTCCTCGTCGCGGGGCGTCCCCTGCTCTTGGTGGTGTGGGTCCAAGACAATCAACGCATGGTCTGTCGCCTCTGGTGGACAACATAACCTTGCCGATTCGAGACCAACATTCACACCAGCCGCAAGTGCCTCAAACGCAACTTCTGGCCCTTGGTCCACGAGTCGACGATATGCAGGTGGTCGGTGAAGATCCCGAGAGGGCCGTAAATACACTCAAACCCAACTTCTGGCCTCTGGTCCACGAGTCGTCGATGGGAAGGTGGTCGGTGAAGAATCCGAGAGGGCCATGGATGCTTTCGATCGCGAGATTCATTCACACATCCGCAAGGGCCTGAAGCCCAACTTCTGGCCTCTGGTCAACGAGTCGACGACAGGAAGGCAGTCGGTGAAGAACGCGAGAGGGCCACGGATACACACGATCGCGGGAGCTGGAGCGGAGAGATCTCCGCGCGAGGCCTGGTCTACCTTCGCCCCTCAAGCGTTGGTCACCCGGGGCCCAGACCACGGGCGAGAGGCCGCCAGAAATTTGGCATCGCTCGGGCGTGTGCATTTTTTCTCGGCGAAGGCCATCGAGGAGCATCTTTGATCGTCTAGCGAAAAATACGCGCACGAGATCGAAAAGGTCACAGGGAGTGGACGTCCGAGCGATGGCCAGGAAGGGGCTGAGGCAATTTTCACCAGCTCCTGCCCTTCGACGCCGACGGCCATCCGAAGATCTCCTGCCATACAGTGGGGGCGCGCATCAAGAAACCATGTGCTGTTCGTAAGGGTATCCTGGGTTCTTCGCTCCGCGCGCCGCGCGGTGACTTCCCGCAGCCGTTGAAGAAGCTGCTGCGTTCAGGATGTTCCGGGTTTCCCTTCAAATGCACCTCGCACACGGGTTTTCAGGGTTGGGTTTCTTGCGGCCGCGCCCCCTTTGGACCCATCCCCGAACGCGGTAGCGTAACCTTCGGCGTCTTTGGGGATGTAGTCGACACTGCCAACCAGAGAGCGAGTCTGAGGCCCATCAGCAAAAGTGGGGACCGCTGCCGAAGATCCCGGGGCCCCATGGAGCCAGAAACCAGGGGCGTTCTCGTGATACACTATAGTTTGCTCGAGGATGGCCGATGTTGGCCTCGCAGTCCCAGGCTCACTGAAACAACGTCTCGGGCGCCTTACGGCACCTCTGGCAAATCTTGTCTGGGACCGTATACCCTGCAGACAGGAGCCTCTCACGAGTCCACTGCGCCCCCGTGGTCACCACCACGTCGAGCGCCCACGGGTCGCCCTCGTCATCCTTGGTCGTCCTGGCCCTCTCGCGGGAGACATGGAGCAAGTCGGCGTCTTTGTCTAAGTCCGACGCTGAATCGTGCTTGGACGCAGTTGACCGAAGCACAGCATTGGCCGAATTTTCAGCATCGTCCAGGATGTCAGTGAAATCGCACTGAAAATCATCGTACTCGGGATCAGCGGCCGAATGGATTTACCTCCTGCGGGTGGGATACTCCCAGCACATGGGAGAGTGAGTCGTCCATCCAATGTCCATCAGGGTGCAGATCGTGGCCGCGATGGGTCCGCGCACAACTCTCCATTTGCGAGAGTCTGCCAGCACAAGACGCTGACGTATGGACTCCCATGTACGTGCCACACGAGCATGTACCTCAGGTTGTTCACGCCACAACTTGAAACAAGCATGTTTGTTCACGTTGTATCGTTTTGGCTGGATCTCTGCGCCAAAATGCAATAGCCAGCGATGTGGTCAGGCATCTCCCTGGTCCTGAGCCGACTGCGCACGGAGAAGATTGTCTGCGAATGTTGACCATCTCGTAGGTGGGGACGCCGGACGACTTGTGAGCATATATGCGTGACTTGCGGACGCGAGCCCATAACGATGTCGTAATCTTGGCCGTGGGTGGCGCCTCATTGTGTTGATCGCCTTTGTGCGGTGCCTGGCGTTCCATGTTCTCTCAAGTGTTTTGATCCGTAGATGTCGTCGTCCCCCAAAAAGTGCCCATCCCCAAGTAAATTGCCTCTTGCACTGCTACCACTGGCATTCCTCGATCCCGCAATCCATTGGAAACAGCCAGCGAAATCTTCGACGACGAACTGGCAACTATTATTGTTTGGACACTACACCGTGAAGCCAGCATCCGCCATATCTGCACATAGCGAACAGCTTGCAGCCACGAAGGTACTGATACCTCTGCCTTGGGTGCCTTCCACTCCGACGACACTGTCGTCCGAGTTTTAGGAGGAGGGGGCGGAGAACATCGGAGGATGGCCCTCCTTGCCCTCCCCTGCCTGCCGAAGCGTGCCGTGCCTGCCCTCCCCCTGCCCTCCCCCTGCCCTCCTGCCTGCCTGCCTTCCCTGCGGGCGGGCCCGCCAGGTGGCCCTGGGCGGCATCACCCCGGGCGCGGTGGCGGTGTGGGTCATGGACGCAGGGCAGGCGAGCGGCGGGCGAGCGGCGGGGGAGACCGCCGGGAGCCCCTTGGGGGCGTCTTGGGGGCCTTCTGGGCATCTCTTGGGGCACTCGTGGGAGCCTCGGGGGCCATCCCTGGAGGTGATCGATCCAAGGAGGAGGGGGTTCCAAGTAGCGCTGCCGCCCCCCCCCCCCGCCCCCTCCCCAGGAGGCCAAACTGTGGCGAGGGGTTGCAGGTACCGATGCGGTCGGGGAGGGCACCCTGATGCTCATCGTGCCTGTTCTGATGTTCTCGTGCATCTTGGGGTGTTCTGGCCAGCGGAGGGTTCCGTGTTCTTGAAGGATGTTCTTCTGTCCTAGGTCGGGTCGTACCGTGGCCATCTCCTGTTTCTAGAAGAAAGAGGAGGAGGGAGCGCGACCACTCATACGGCTTTGCATCAATGCGACTCGGCCTCAACGAAATCGGGTTGCGAGCTCAGCGGTCGCGGCGGGTGTGGTGGCGGATCTACCCGTGGTAATAATTGCATGGCCGAGCGTGAGAAACGTCCAGTCAAGAAAAAAGATACCACTACTCTTTCCTCGTGCTCCCGCCTCGAAACTCTTGTCAGAACGAACCCCGGAGGGTCGAAGAGGAAAAACGGCATCAGCATAAATGTTCAGCGGTCCGCGCGGATTTCTTGGATCTGCGCTGGGCCCCCCTGGCGGCGCCTCCGGGCCTTTGGCACTGCCCCAGGCACGCTCCGCGCGCCAGGGAGGGGGGTCCAGCCTAGATCCAAGAAATCAGCGAGGACCTCCGAGATTTTATGTCAATGTCACTGTCTGTCCCACCAGAGGAGGCTGGTTCACGGCCCGCTGACGTCGTGACGGTTTCTGGCGACTTCGGAGGTCAAACGCTGCATCATGGGTGCGGCTTGCACGAGGGTCAAGAACAGCCCCAGGTTCGGAGGGGTACCCCGATGCTCCTCGAGTTGGGGCCCTCCACCTTGGAATAAATTTGGTTTGGCGTATCTCCGCGGGGCCTTGGGCTCTCGTTTGGAAAGATGGCGTGCGATGTGGCGCCGCCGGCCCGTTGATGACACGCCGTCCCCCACCTCGGGGTTAGCGTGCACCGCAGAAGCCCTGGCAGAGGGATGGCGTGCACAATGTGGGGCCCTCGCGTGGGGCATCGCCTCACAGGGATAGCGTGCGTTTCGGAGGTCGATGTTGCACTCGATCTTCCCAACACCAGCCGCAAACAGCCGACGGCAAGCATCCCACATGGGAAACTGGCGTGCCGACCGATGCCCATCTAGGGTTTCGTATCGAGCAGTGGTTTCGTTTCGTATCGAGCACCCTACGAAACCCAAAGGCGACGAAGGATGTGTCCCTAACTTTCTTTCGGCAAGAAGTTATTTCGTACGTGTCGACAGCATGTGCTTGGCCATCAGGCTTGTCTGCGGTTACAGAGTTCCCGTTCCAGTCGCATCAGATGGTTCCCGTCCAGTCTTCCATTCGGGCCCGTGCCTGGCAAGATGGCCAAACTCTGTTCGATCGGACCATCTGTCTTTCGGCGGTTCGGCTCTGCTCGGGCCTCCAGAGACATTTCTAGGGAGCCCAGGCCGCCGACGCCGCGGCTTCATCAGCGCAGGCGTTGTTTTCATCGGCTTCGGCCTCCCCAGGCCAATTTCGGGCCCTGGAGCTATCAAGACACGATTGAGGGTGGATAGCCAGTGCCCAGGAAGGAGGTCCTGGGAGGGCCCTGTGGGCCACGCATCGAACAGATCAAGTCGTTGGAGGCCTGTCCTAACGTGCAGGCCTGGTGCAACATAGAAGTTGTTTCTTGGGCGCTGCTTCGTTAGGGCGCCTTGCTATAAGGATCACTGGCCATCATAAAACAACGCCATGCGTTGACACGCGCTCACCGCCGCAAGCGCGATGACCTCCTAAACGACCACACCCGTCAGCAGCGATTGGTGCGCAATGGTGTCTTCGACTGCGACCTTCCTGTAAATTGGCAGACGCCTCAAGATAATGCTGCTGGTAAGCACTTAGCCTTCATAGTGAATGCTTGCTGCATTGAGACACCGTCATCTCAAACTCGCACCGTCATCATTTTCTTCACTCGTCTCCTGCGGAGCGCAGAGTACAGGCCCACAGAAAGTGGAACGCTAGTTAATTGACGCGCTGTCAGTATCGCTTGCCATGCGCATGGATCGGGACGTCGTTTCGATTGGCCGCAGGTTGTCAGTGAACCATGGGAGCAGGTGCACTTACTACGAGCGTAGATTCGGACGCTGTGCAACATACACGCTGTGCAAAGCGATGTTGCAAGCCCGTGTGCATCCGACCGTTGCCAGCTGTGCCAGAGGATATCGCACTGGAGTGTTCGCTTTATAATATCGTGCTTGGGCTGCTGTTAGTAGGCCGCGCTGGCTTCGATGATTTCCTGCGCATTTGCTTGACGTCGTTGATTGGTTGTTGGGGTTGCTCGATCTGATGCTTGAGGACGCTGCAGCAAAAGCGGCGGGGATACGCTCGATGCTCTTCGACTACAACGTCTCAGACGCCAGGACAGACAGCATGCATTCACTAATCTATTGGACTGAGAGAGGTGGATGTTGTCTTTGTTGTTCAGATGGAGCCACCATGATTTGGCAAGGGTGGTACTCTCTGGCGCGGGCTGGATCCTTCATTTCCGTGGTTCCGACGTTGGCCGGCTCAAGTGATTGCGTCAAGTTCCGTTTCTGTTCGTGCGGCGACCGTCCGTCAACCGCCTGGAGAGCCGTAACGTGCGACGGTTCTTTTTCCAGGCCCAAGATTGACAACGCGTGGCACGTTCTTCGTGTACTCGAGACGGCCAACCTTGTTCAGATATGGTGTTGTCATGCCATGTTCCATAACGCAGTGCGTTGTCTTAGTGTGAGCGTTGTGTAGAGCTGTGCACTGATATTGTGAATTCCGTTATATTGTAGGTCAAAGCTATATGTGAGAGAGCGCGTTTCACGGGCGTTTGCTTTGGGAACAATCGGCGGCGCGTTTCGAACCAGTGGGGGGGCGGTCTCCCCCCAACACTCGGCGCCGTCGATCAGAACCAAGATGACTTCCCTCCCCCCTAACCGCCCCCTCCTCCCCAAACACCCCCCCCGCACCCCTCTGGCGCCGGCGCCGGCGCGGGCGCCGGCGCTGGCGGCGGCCAGCAGCGCCGATCGGCGGGGACGCAGCAACGATGACCAGAGAGGACTCAGGGAGGGGAGGGGTGGGGGGGGGGTCTAAACCCCCCCACCACCCCCCGGCGCCGGCGCCAGCGGCGGCCAGCGGCCAGCGGCGCCGATCGGCAGGGACGCAGCAACGATGACCAGAGAGGCCCAAGAGGCCGCAAGGGAACACAAAACGCCATATCGATCCTTCGCCCCCCAAAAGCCACCGAACCAGGAGGCTTCACAAATGCTCTCCAGGCTCCCCCGAGACCCCTCTTCGTGACGAGCCCTCAAGAGGCATCCATTTTATCTTTGACCCAAAGCCAAAACAGGGTGGCGGGAAGACCCGAAAGCCACACCACCACCACCACCACAAACCACCACACCACCACCACCACAAACCACCACACCACCACCACCACCACCACCACAACCACCACAGCCACCTCAATCCACCACCGCCACAACCACCACCATCACCCCAACATCGTCGTCGCCGTCGTCCTCGTCGACGCTCCCAGCCGCCGCCGCCAGCCGCCGCAGGCGCCGGCACCGGCCCAGAAAAGGACAACGTCGTCTTCATCGACGTCCCGCCGCCGCCGCCAGCCGCCGCCGACGCCGCCTCCGGCCCGAGGAGAAGGAGAGAGGAGAGGGGGGGGTCGAAACTCCCCCCCCTCCCTTCCGCCACGGGAGAAGGGAAGGGAGGGGGTGGGGTGGGGGTCGAAATCCCCCCCCCCTTTCAATCCCCGGGGGGGGGGGGCCGGTTCCAACCCCCCAGCGCCCACAGAACGCGATCTGTCTCATATGATGACGCATGGTATGCTTTATTGAGCCATGCACGGATGCGTTTTGCCGATACGGTATGGTGTACAGTGCCTCCACATAGCATTTAAAGCATTTAAAGCACGATACGCATCTATACACATTCGTACATCATAGACCACCGCTTCGGGTGATACGGATGTCGACCGGGGATGGATGCGGCGTTTGGGGGGTTGCGATTGGTTTCGGGTCTGGGCGCGATACGTTCACAACATATTTAGTTTGACAAAACCGTATCGACACGTACAGACACGCACACACGCACAAACACACATATCTATTTACGTATATATTTATATACGTACATACGTGCATACATATATATATATATATATGTACATGGATGCGTACATCCATTGTATATAAATGTGTGTAAACGCACTCGTTACATGCAGCTTCAAATATGTGAACATGTGTGTGCCGTAATGTGCACGCTTATATATATACACACATATATATGTGTGTGTATGTATCCAAGACTGCGGTGGCGCTTCGCGCCATGCACCTTGGCCCTTGAAGTTTGGCACGCACGCGGAATAGCAGGAAGGTCAAGCCGACAATTTAGAGATCACTCCTTGTTGCCTTTTCCGGCATCACCGCTATAATAATGTTATTCGTTTTCTTTCCTCCATGTTTCTCTTTCCTTATTTTCGCCGTACACTGCGCATTCTCCCCATCCTCCTCAGCTCTTTTTGCGGAGGTTCCTCCTTGGAGAGCCTCTGGGGGCCTTAGAAAAGTTGTTTCAGGCTTTCTTAAGGCCTTCTGGAGGCCTCCTGGGCGTATTCTGGGGACCTCCGGGGACTTCTTCGGGCCACCCTACCTCCAACCGCGGTTTCCCTGAACGACCGGGTCACGATTTGGAATGCTTCGGAGGGCGTCTTGGGGCCAAATTGGGCCGCCATGGGGCTCTCTGAGGGCCATCTTGGACCCGTGTTGTGCCGTTTTGGGGCTCTGTTGGACTGCCTGGAAGCCCTGTCGGATGGTTGTGGGGCGATGTTGGAGCCTCCCAGGCGGCTTCGGACGCCCAGAAGACCGCCGTCTTGGAGCGTCGGGAAGCCGAAAAAAGGAGAACCCCAACATTCAGCAACAACCAACAGAAAATCAAAGAGTTGTGCCTCTTGGGGCCTTTTTGGGAGTGCTCTTGGAGGCCTCTTTGGGGCCGTCCTGGAGGCCTTTTGGGCCATCTTGAGGTCACGTCGGTCACTTTTGGAGCGCCCTTGTGCTGTCTTGGGGGTCTCTGGGACATCTCCGATGACCCCCCTGATCGCCCTAGGTGTGCTGGAAGGCTTGGCAAAAAGCCCTGCGAGGCCCAGGGGGCCGCTTCGAGGCCCGTCCAGAGGGTCCCAAGGCCCCAGATCCCGGGAGTCCGGTTTTGTTTTGGGGGGGTGACGGGTTTTCTCCCCGCCCGGGCTTGCAGAAATATAGGAAGAGGATATACACATACATATATATATATATATATATATATACGTATATCGATATATGTGCATATATACATACATACATACATACATATATATATACATATATATATGCGTGTATATGTATGTATGCATGTATGTATGCATGTATGTATGCATGTATGTATGTATGTATGTATGTATGTATGTATGTATGTGTGTGTGTGTGTTTATGTATGTGTGTTTGTATGTATGTATGTATGTATGCATGTATGTATGTATGTATGTATATGTATATATATATACACATACATACAGGTACTTGCCTTGATGTACGTATGTATCGACTGTCTGACCGTCGCCGTACTAATTTGCGCCCCAGTTCGATATACGATCGGATTGGGACGGCTGTGGCGCGCTTTTCTTTGTGAGTTTCGAGGTCAGAGTTGTTGGGGCCTGTCAGGAAGTCTCTCAGGAGCCTTTGGGGGGGCCTTTGGCAGCCTCTCCTGGGCCTCCTGAGCCCTTTAGGCCGGAAGGCTCGACTTGTTGGTTCGTATTGGGGCCGTCGGGGGCCCTCTTGGGCATTGTTGGGCGCCTCTTGGGCAGTGTAGGTGTCTTGTTGAGCCGTCTAGAGGCCCTTTGGGCCGTCATGGATGGGGCAGTCCTGGTGGCCTCTTGGGTTGTCTTGGGACGTCGGAACTGTGAAAAGCGAAAACCTGGAGAACGCCGAAGAACCTTAGGACAGGCAGTGATGTTTGCCTCTCGAGGCCGTTTGGAGACGGCTCTTGGGGCTTTGTGGAGACGCCTCGACGGCCTCGTCGGCCGTCGTCAAGCCATCTTGGGCCGTCGCAAGGCACGGTGGCGAATGTATGTATACATGTCTGTCTATATGTATACACATGTGTCTACATGGATCTATATATATATATATATATATATATATATAGAACTGGCTTATGTACATACTTTTATACTACATACTACCGTCCATAGGTATATTCACATATATGTTTGTACATTGGTATATATATATATACATACACGTACAATGAATATATTCATATACAGGGGAAAGAGAGAATGAGAAAGAGAGCGAGCGTGAGAGAGAGAGAGAGAAAGAGACAGAAAACAAAACAAACAACAATCGGTGCAGGGCGGGAGGGGTGCCAAAACTGTGACCTCCAACCCCCATGGTAAGTCCAGCGCCCTGGCGATGCAATCTGGGCGGTCACTCGGGGCTCCCCAGGCGGGTCTTCGAACCCCCGCGAGACGGATCCACGACGGTCTGGGAGAGCCCCAAGGTTTCCCAAGAGCGCCCCGCTGCAGTCCCTGATGCCTCCCAGACAGCCCAAAAGGCCCCCAAGGAGGCCCAAGAAGGCTCCAACAGGCCGCCCAACAGGGCCCCAAGAGGCACAAATTACTGGCCTGCCTCAGGTTTTGCAATCGGTTCTGCAGTGATTTCACCATTCTCTCCTTTCATCGGCTTCTGAATGTCCACGGGGCCGCCCCAAGGCGGCCCAAGACGCCTTCCATGACCCCAAGACGACAGCCACGCGCCACGAGCTCCCAGCAGGTTCCCTCTGGAGTCCCACTCCGTTCCCTCCGGACCTCCCCAGCCCGTCTCCATCGATGTTCCAGGATCTGGGATGACAGTCGGCCCCAGTTCCACCGAAGCAGCTCCGGCTTTCCCTGGACGACGTCTAAGGGTGTTCTCCATCGAAGCGGCCCCGCGACGGCCCCGAGAGACCACCAAGACGGCTCTTCCGCCACCGTGCTTGGGTTGTGGGCCAGAGGGCTCCCTGGAAGAGCCTTTAGAGCCGCATGGAAGGCCGCGCGCGGGCCTGTTGAAGGACTGGTTGGAGCCTCCTGTCCCATGGGGACTCGTTTGGTCATTTTGGAGAGACCAATCAGACCACTCATGCCTGCCTGGTAGACTGCGTTTGGAATGCTAATCATTGAAGGGCTGAGGACTACACAGGGAAATCTGTGTCAGCTGGCCATGAGGTGGGTTGGACTGGCGCAGGTCCATTCGTTGGCATGCTGTCGAGGCCGCGTGCATGAACAGTTGAGTACGTTATATGCTGTCCTCTGGTGAAGCTCACACAAGGCGGGGGTCATCACTGGTGCTCTGTCGATGTTTGAGGATTGAATCTTCGGCGGACGCACAGCCTTCGACTCTTATCTGGCGGGCGACGTCATCGGCCGCTCCATGCTTCGAGTTGAGTCTCTTGCCAATTGCCATGGATCATGTTGTGTGCTTTCAGTGTCGTTCCAATGTCGGAGACACGTGCATTGGCACTCCACACTATGGCCAGACCTTCTGGCGTGTTTCATTGTGGGTACGGACATCGTTGTGTGTGGGCGCGTAGATATGTTGAATACGCATTGCGTTGCCATTAAGACGGTTGATGCACAATGTGTTTGCATATTGGGATTGCGAGTTGTGTTGAGGATGTTGTGAACGCCTCATACTTGGTCTTGCCTTTTTTGCGGCGCCGAATGAGGGGAGGTCGGAGGAGAAAGAGAACGGGTGCGACAAGCTAGGTGCGCTCCGCCTCATCTGACATCCTGTCCCGCCTTCCCATCCCTTCCCATGGTGCTGATGTTCCTCTATCCTCGGACGCGTGTCGTAGCCGACCTGTGAATCCCATAGAGAGACGATTTCGTGTTATGCGGAATTGGAAACATGGAAGCTGCGTGCACAGGAGGGGGAGGAGGTGGCGGGTGAGCAGGAGGATGAGCGGAAGGAAAAAGGACGAGGACGAACAGCAGCAGCAATTGAAGCGGAAGGGTCGGGAGGCGACAACGATGATGAACGATTCGGCCGAGACGAACAGCAGCAGAAGCAGGAATTGGGGATAAAGGAGCGGGAGGAACAAAAGGACCAGGGGAAGGCGGAGGAGGGGAAATGAGGGGGAGAACACCATGAAGCAAGACTCGGATCCAGCAAAGTGGCCCTCGCTGGAGAAAGAGCGCCTGTCTGAACGACGGGAGCATAGCGCCAATCCAAAAAAACACTCTGAAGCGGGTTCACCATTTTGAAACAACGAAACTATTCGAATTATAAAAGAAACACATCGGAAAAGAAGTGTTTGAAATCTTGTGTATAGAAAATCACCACGCGGAGGGGGCGGGAGATCGTCCGGAGAACTTCAGGTGAGGAGGGAGAGTAGTACTCATATTGGTAAATGCTAGATGGCATGGGGGGCTTTCCGGAAGAGGCCCCCCTTCCCCCCGTATCCCTTCCCCTCCTTCCTCCCAGAGGGACCGCCCTTTCTGCCCTCAGACGGCCTTGCCTGTGGACGGCTCTGGTACTTGGATGCCCCCCCCCCCGCCCGGCACTCGAGACGCGCCCTTCACGCCCAGTGCGCGGGCAGAGGTGCACGACGTGCGAACCTCATCCTCGCCCTCTCGCCTTCGTGTTCCTCTCTGGGGGAAACACCCTTTCTCCAGGTACGAACACGAAGACGAGAGAGCGAAGATGAGGGCGGGGATATCTGGGATAGGTGTCATTCTCAACATCCGCCTCCTTCCGCCCTGGAGATCCCAGTTGGATTCAGCTCCTCTCGCTGCGGGCACGGAGAATAAGAGCTTGGCACCGTTGGGAGGTAGCCTCAGGGATTGCGCGCTGCGCTCCCAGGGGCCCCCTCACCAGGGCACGATCAAGACGCTGAAATTTGACGGCGCCCATACCCAGACGTGCTCGAGTCGTGGCACATACACGACGGAAGGTTATTGGCTTTTGTCGGCAATGCGGGCCCTCGCTGGGCCTGGGAACCGTCAAGAAACCGATCGTGATGGAAAACCGGCCCTGAGGAAAACGTCGGGACTTCGGGGATTTGGTGTTGAAAGAATCAAGACGCCGGAGGTCTCGGTAAGGGGGTGCCGCGAGGGGGGTCGCCTTCTGAGAGAGCGGTGGGGCTTCTCAGAAGGCAGGGGGGCCTCTCCGAGATCCGCCCAGATTCCAAGAAGCCTTCTCAAAGGCCTGTAGGGTCTTCTAGAAAGGTCCCTGCCTTCTTGAAAGCCCTGCCGCGTCATCAGCAGGCGAGTTTCGGTTCAGGAGGGTCTCTGGCTTCCTGGCCGTTCCTAATCTCCGTCGTTCCTTACCCAGCGTTCCGTATGGTAGCACGATGGTTGCAAGGGCTCCACCGTGAGAGCCACAAAGGGTGGTCCGAAGTTCCAACGTGCGGCTGCGGTCCTGCTCTGGAGGGCACGCTCACTGACCACCTGACCGATCCTGACCAGGCTCATCTTGGGCTCAGGTTCGGTGTGTATACGCCCTCCTGGCTTGGCCAGGGAGGCACAGACACCGATCCCAGGCCCAGGATCGGCCCGGCCAGGATGGGTGAGGTGGCCAGCTGATGCAGCCTAAGATGCAGTCTTGCACAAGTTTACGGGGCGCATCTGGCCCTGCTCAGGGCGGGCCCGGGACCGGATCAAATCGCTCCAGAGAGTTCTGGGACGCTCTCAGAGCGTTCCAGAGAGCTCTGGAACGGCCGCGGCGCCCGATGCATCCTCCAGAGCCGTCGGATCTCACAGATCCCTGATTTGTCTAAGAGTCCGATTGTGTCCCAGTCTTGGCTTCGTCTCAGAGGGAGAACCGAGGGACTGCCAAATGCCGATGCCGCCATTCCCTGGCCCCCTCCTGGGTGGCGCGAGTCCTGGCCAGGATGATCCGAACCGAGTCCGGCCGTGGCGGCGGGCGCGACTCACGGACGCCCCCCCCCCAGATAGGGCGAGTGAGAGAGAGCGAGGGAAGGACCTTCCCAGTGATCAGCGGCACCGATTTCTTTCCGCGGCACCTTACAGTGCTGGGTCCTCATCAGCGAGTATGCAGTATGCTGGAACATGCCGAAGGAAGCCACGTTAGGCCCTCTCTCGGGCACTGCAACACTGCCCGCGCTGGGAATGGTTGCGCTCGCCTGGGCGCGGGCCCAAGCACCCTGCAGTGGAGTCCTCGTTAGAGGGGCGCGCGTAAACTATGTTACATGCTTCTCCCCTGATGCAGGAGCGAAACAAGGACGCACATGTACATGAGTCCACGTTGGTTTCGAGAGGATGCAGTGCGCGAACGTTCGTATCACGCGGCCAGTCTCGCGGATTGGGGCGCCGTGTTCATGTACGTGGTTGGGCGTGTACGTCCTGTGTGAGCTCCCTACTGATGTTCCCCCGTCCCTGCCGCCGCGCCGCCAGATCAATCCGGCCTCGAACCTGCCGACGCAGTTCACTCAGCAGGTCCCTGGGCCGCGCGTGACCTACGGCAAGGCCGCAGCTCCCCAGGGGGCGCCCCCTGGGGGGGGGCAGCGCGGCGCCCCTTCTGGGCATCGTGAACATCCGACGGGCTGCCTTGCTCTGTTTTGGTAGGGGAAACATAAGACTCGAGTTCGCCTGAACTCGGATTCAGCAACGCTTTTTGACGAGCCCGTCCTGGTTTTTGACAGTCCAGTTTTCGTGTGATGTTGGCGGCGGGAGCGCGTGTCAGATTTCAGACTGGGTCTCATCATTTTCCTGACGGCCCCGTCAGGCCAACCCGAGTCCCCCGAACCCGAGCCTTGCGTCTCCTGAGGGAAACGAGTCATGAGGTATTACGACGATTTCGGGCTATCGGGGCCCTCAACGGGCCATGAGATTGTCACGAAACGGCTCAGGAGGAAGATCTCGTCCTAGGGGAAGGCCCCGTTAGCCCAAGCGTGTGTTTACTCCATTCGATTCCGCCGATAGCGCGCGTTCTGTGTCTTCCCTCGTCGCGCCGCCTGCGTCGTATTGAAGGGCCTCGGTGGACAAGCGCACGTCGACGCTAGGACACGTTCTGAAGATCATCGCAAAGACATCCGACGGGCTGTCTTGCGCTGTTGCGGGCCAGGAAGCCCTAACGGATCAGTCTAGCACGAGAACACCCGAGGAATAACCACTGGCACAAACTTCTCTTTCGGAGATCCGCGCGGATTTCTCGGATCGGCGTTGGGCCCCCTTGGCCGTGCGTCTGGCGTCGCCCCTGGCGCGCGGAGCGCGCCAGGGAGGGGGATTCCAGCGTCGATCCAAGAAATCCGCGCGGACTTCCAAAAATGTGTGTACGCCTACCTTTGCTCTAAACAGGGAAAGTCCCTCATGAAGACGTGCTCGAGAGGGTCCGGTCTTAATGTGTCACTGGTGTGTGCGTTTTCGTTCATGATGTCGGACCTCAGGGAAGCCACGGTCCACAAGCTCCGACGAATGTCAGATGGAAGTGGCAATGCCGAGGATTGCGCACATACAGCCGCCCTAGAGTAGTCCTGGTGGCCCTCAGCAGCCGCAGTCTCAGCACCCCAAGTTTTGGGCGCACAGCGGACCAGGCGCGGAGCTGAGACCGTCCCGAGGGCCTGCCGAGGGCAGCCAGAACTGCCTCCGAAGCTGTGCGCTGTCGCCTTTTCAGTGGGGGTGGAAGGGGGGGGCAAAGAGAGAACGAGGCCGAGGGGGAGGGAGGGAAGTGGGGAATGGGGGATGGAAGTGAGTAGGTGAGCAGGATTCGGGGCCAGCGATTGGCTGCTGCCGCCGCCCTCGCAGGCCCCGCAATCGCTCACGGCTCCTGCCAGCCGACTCGGCTTCGTCGTCTTGCATTGCCAGTCTCCCCAGATCCCATCTCCAGCTCCGCCTCTCCTCCACCTCCCCTCCCCGTCTCCCGTCCTCTTCCCCTCTTCCCCTCCCCCCACTGTCACTCCTCCCCCCCTCCTCCCCTTCCTTCTCCCCCCCCTTTCTCCCTTTCTCCTTCCTCCGCCTCTCTTCCCCCTCCCCTCCTGCCCGTCCCCGTCCTCCTCACCCTTCTCCTCCCTGGCGCTGTCGCCGCGCTTCGCCCCGAGGTTCACCGAGGCCCCTCCCCCGCGATTCCATCAGGCGAAGGGTTAGTCATGAGCGAAGTGGGCACCCAGACCTCTAACGTCGTGTTTTGTTTGGCCCACTGTCCTTCCTCGATTTCGGCCGTGTCGGGCAGCGCCTGAGATCTCCGCGGGGTCGCCCTGCTCCGGGGAAGGTCGGTCTGGAGCCAAGGACGTGCACGGGGCTACAAAAGCACAGCGTCGGCTGTCTGTGTGCTGGTACTGGCCATTCTACAGTTGAACCGCATAGTCAGGATGAGCAACTTTCCAAGGTTACCCTTGCATCCGTCCCCTTCGGCCCATCTTTGGCCGCTTGCGCTCGCGCCCCGCTCGCAAAGTGGCGACACGGCCTTCAAGGCCTTTGCATACTTCTGGTACGTCCTTGTGATACGGGTTGACGGTAGTAACGAAGGTCAGGCGATTTGTGAGTGGGCCGGTTGTAAAGGTAAGTCCCGTGGATTACACATCGGCCCAGAGCGGCCCCGACTCTGCAACGGCGCCGGCCGCGTTCCAGCTCATGTCAGGGGACTCTAGAGCGGGCCGGTTTCAGAGACCCTGGATTTCATAACGAGGCCGTCCTGAAGTTTGGGAACTTCTGCACGGGCCCGTTCCAGAGTCCCGAGATGCTAGAACGGCCTCGTTCTGAGCCATTTCGTGTTGGCACCCTCGCCCTCACGCGTGAGGAGTGCGTTGCACACGCGCTCCTCACGCCGCTCTCGTGCCGAGATCGGGCGGAACCATCGACGGGCCTTCGACGGGGGCCTCCCTCGAGGGCCCCCGCCCTCGAGAGGGCCTCCCTCGAGGGCCCTCGCCTTCGAGGGGGGCCCCGACCGAGGGGCGACGGGCGGGTCGCCCCGCCCTCGGCGCAGGCCAGCGCGAGGCCCGCGGCGAGCGGCGGGAGCAGAGCTCGGCACGGAGGGGGGGGGTCGTCCTGGAGGAGCGGGGCCTGAGCCGGGGAAAGGTCCAGAGCCCAGGGGTTGGGTAATGGGGGGGGGGGGGGGGGCAGTTCGCGGGGGGGGGGGGAGGGCGAGGGCTGCCGGAAAAGGGCCCTCAAAGGGCCCAGAACGGGGGCTGTCAGGGCCCGGAAGGTGTACGCTTTCTTCTTCCCCCCATGTCTCGCTTCCCCATTGAGCGATGCCCAACAGGGGCCCGTTTCTCGGGGGTCCCAAAGCCGTGCGGTGACAGACCGCGAAGTGAAGCTGAAATTCCCAGAGACAGTGCTCATTTCGATTCCTCCGATTCGATTCGATCTGATTTCGATCGCTTCCGAATCCGATTCGATTCGACTTGTGGTTCCGATTTGCCGATTTGGATCCCGAATTCTCATTGGAGGCAGACTAGAATGCCGGTGTCTGCCGATTCGATCCGATTGATCGATTCGATTCTGGGCCTTCCTGCAAAGGCCTCACCGCACTGTCCACCACTGTTCGGTCTTGGCACTTTGGAAGCCTCAGTCGCCCGAGTCGTCCTCGGAGGACGACCCAAGTCCCAAAACCGTGCGGTCACCCCGAATCCCCACTGACTCACCATACAGTGTGGTCCAACAGAGTGGTGGCGGCCTCGCGGGCGCGAAGGCCCAGCTGAAGCAGAAGTGGAACCCCCCCGAAGGGCCTGAGCCGAGAGGCGCGGTCGTCGCCCCTTGAGCAGGGTCCATTTCGATCCGATCAATCCGTTTTGATAACGGTTTTGGCCATTTCGATCCCATTCGATTCCGATATTCCGACGATCCGATGCGGCCCGACGCTGGCACTGCGTCGTTGCGCATGCTGGCGCAGCCGATCCGATTCGGCTTCGATTCTGTGCAGATGCAGACCGATCCGACTCGCGCTCCGAATCGATCCGATTCCCCGACTCGATACTGACGGATCCCGCTCTGAAGAAGATCAGCCGCCACCCTCAGGGGTACCCCCCCGCATCATCGGCCCATCGAAGAAGAAAAGCATCAGCACAAACCTTCGGAGGTCCGCACACATGTTCTTGATCGGCGCCTCCGGCGCCGCCCCTAGCGCCACGCGCGCCAGGGAGAAGGACCCCGCGCGCCGAGCCAAGGACTCCGCGCGGACCGCCGAAAGTCTGGTTCGCTCCCTGAGCTGTTGGGAGGGGCCGGCGCGCGCCACCGAAGCTGTGGCCACCCGGACGCCCGGGGGACTTCGCACTTTGGATGGGGTTGGAGTAGATGGGGTCGGGCCTCTGGGAGGCCTCTATTGTCAGGCGGAGGCCTATCCAGCGTCTCGAGCAGAGCCTCGAGGCGGCGGGCGTCTGGGGGAGGCCGCGGTGAGCGGCACGGTCGTGGGGGCCGCTTGCCCGGTGGCCCCGCGCCGCCTGCTGGATCGCTGTGCGGGGGTGCTCGCGGCCCCGAGGGGGCTGCTGTACCCTGGCGGGCTCCCGTGGCCTGCAGTCGGGCCGCTGAAGAAACCCTTTTCGTTGGGGAAGGGCTCAGTGTTCCTTGTCTCAGGTTGTCCTTGGGCATGCGAAATCGAAGCTAAACGTATGGAAGAAAGGGGCCTCGTTCCTTCTTCAGGCTTCGACTGTAAGGGCCACCATGTTTCAAAACAAGGGCCCACGGTTGCGATCGCCTCCCAGGCACGTCACGGAGGTGGGCGCTGGTCGATGGCCGCCTCGGCCCCCCCCCCCCTTGGGCACCTCCGTACAGTAGGCGAGTCGAGCAAGACTTCGGCCTGCCAGCAGGTGCCCCACGGAAACGCCTCAGCCACCGATTGCCCCAGGGACCGAAAGAAGCTGTGGGGCACTTTCGGACCCTCAAGGGTCAACGAATCATTTGCCCCAAGATCTCGTACCACAAGGCTTCTTATCGTAACCGTAGTAGACAGAGTAATTGTGGGCACAAGCTTCCCCGAAAGACCACGCGACCCTCGCTCGTCATACCCGCAGGCTGCCCCTCGGGCCACGCCGCGACGATGGCTTTGCACAGTGCCGCCCCACCCGAGGCCTTTGGGGCCGCGCTCTTGGGCCTGGCGGGGCTCATGCAGACAGCCCGCGGGGCGATGGCGCTTCTCATGAAGCGGGCCAATTGGCCTTTCTACCGCATTCAGGTTGTCTCTGTCGCAGTGGTTGGCCTCATTATGGTGGTGCAGCTGGTGATCGCCAAGAAGCTTGGCAGGATATCCATGCCTCGATGGTACATGGCCAGGTGGGTGTTCGCCAGAGGAGCGTGCGGCGCTCTGTGCTCGCTGCTCACCCTGATCGCCCTGCAGCTAGGCGCGCCCATCGGAGACGTGGCGGCGTTGGGCAGCATCAACACTGTGGCGGCCGCCCTGCTGGGGCGCCTGTTCCTCGGCGAGGCGCTGCAGAGGGCGCACTTGGCCGGAATCGCGTGCGCCATTGCAGGCGCCGCGATGATCGGCTTCGGCGGGTCCAGTTCCGACAGCGAGCAGGCGTGGCTCGGGTACCCGTTGGCGGTGCTGGCAGGTTTGTCGCAGGCCTTCCAGTTCATCTTCGCACGCAAGTCAAAGGACTCACATGGGGATCAACTTCAGACATGATTTACCCCAAACATGATTGTTCGTCTGATCTGCGACAAATGCGCAGAATGTCCTTCGACCTACGACCATCAACCCAGTCGCCCATGGATTCGGCAAGAAAATCGGGTTTGGGGTAAATGAATTCTGCAGTCTATCCCCTGCTCGAAGGACGTGCCAGCGCCCTTCCTTTCCGTCGCTGGGGCTTTCTCGCTCTCCCTCATGACCATGTTGGCGGTCGGCACGGGGCTGGTGCAGGACGCGAGCTTGACGCAGGCATCCGAGCGCCCAGGCGAGGCAGCGCTGTGGCTCGCTCTGCTGGGGGCCGTGATCCTGATCAACACGGCGAGCAACAGCACCGGCGGCCAGCTGTGCCCCGCCGCCGTGAGCGCCACGCTGATCATGGGCGCCGGCATGGTCTCCGGCTATGCGGTGCAGGCCGTGGTGTTCGGCGCCGAGGTTCCGGGAAGAAACAGTGGTCGGGGGTGGGCAGGCCTCCTACCCTGACGCGTCGATTAGCGAATGGGCCGCTTTCGGCTCGCGAGAGGGCGTCGCGGCCGTCATTTTTGCGGGTCCAGGTCCGTCGGTTTCGGCCCCAGGCCGTTTTCACTAAGGGGAGGTTCACTAAAGGGAGGTTTGTCCACCGGCGTCCCCGGCGCGCGGAGCACGCCAGGGGTTGCGCTGGAGGCGCCGCCAGCGGGTTCCAGCGCCGACGCGAGGAATCCGCGCGGATCCTCGAAAGTTTGTGTTATTTGAGCGACGCAGAAAAGCGGGTTCGATTGCGCCGACATTCGAGCGTACGTTGCCCGCGTCAGGCAGCGCGTAAACGCCCTCGCTTCCAGTGCAGCGTGCCGTGCTGGCGGCCCGCGTAAGCTGCGGCGCAAATTCGCCGTGTCATCTCGCGCAAGACCCGTCTGATCGTTCCTCATGTAGTGTTGCCCTGGAGGTGGGCTTGCTGTCTCTCCTCTCGGCGGCCAGCTCGGGGGGGAAGTGAAAGGCGGCGGGCCTTCTCAGAAGGCTCGGGAGGATTTCGAAGCCTCCCCCGAAGACACAGAAAACTCCCCCAAAAGGTGTGGGGGCTTCTGAGAAGGCACGCCGCCGTCTCAGAGGGCCTTCTCCTTCTCACTTCCCTGAGGTCCGACGTTGCGAATGAATTGCAACATCGGCAAAAATCACGACTGGAGCCGCGGACCCCATCTTTCTGCGCAATTTGTGAGCCGGATCGATCTGCGAGGGTCCCGGGACCCGAAATTGGGCGAACACGCCCAGTATGAAAAATTGGCCACACCCGGATCTGAGGGTTCTCCCCCACGCTCGCCGCCGATCCTCGGCGCCGCGCTGATGATGGCGAGCATGCTCTTCATGGCCTCCAGCCGGGCCCAGCCCGCGGCCGACGCTCCGCGCCCTGCGGTGCTCGGGGTGGTGCCCGGGCTGCAGCCCGACGAGCCCGAGGACGCCGCGACCGAGGTGGGAGGGCACCAGGTTAACCAGTCAACCCGAAGGACAGGGGCACACGAGAAGGGTGCAAGGGCCTTGGAAGGCCATGTCGACACCTTGCGAGCGGGGCGCGGCCAGCAAAAGCGGCCAAGGATGGGCCGAAGGGGAAGGATGGAAGGATAACCTTGGAAAGCCGCTCATCCTTATTGTTCGGGCTGGCTGTATCCATCGATGGTTGGACGAAAGGGTTCGAGGCTCGAGGCTTTCGGCCGTTCTCGTCGGTTCTCGGCAGGGTTCCCGCCGTCGGAATACTCTCCAGCAACTGCGCCTCGCCGAGGGCGTTCCGGTGATGCCCAGATCGTTCCGACCGGCCGCCGGAGAGCCGAATTCTGCCCCGAAAACCAGCTATGTACACATGCACCGACCCCGGCCAGGTCGACCCAGGACCCAGGATCGTTATTTGCGCGTTCCTGCCCAAGCTGGGAGGCCACATACACCGATCCTGGACCCAGGATTGGCATGGCCATGATCGGCGTATGGGCTTACAGTTTACGGTCAACCCGCATGGCAAGGATTAGCAACTTTCCAAGATTATCCCTGCATCCTTCCCCTTCGGCCCATCCTTGGCCGCTTTCGCTGGCCGCGCCCCGCTCGCAGAGTGTCGACAATTGCCCTCCAAGGCCATAGCCTTGCGCCTTTATCGCGCGTCCTTATGACACGGGCTGACTGCATACTTGACGCCCTCCTGCGAGGGCGAGCCGGACGACGGTGCCGAGAGCTTTCGCTCCTTCGCGTCTTTCGCGTCCGCCGAGTTCGCCGCCGCCTCGCCCACGGCGGCCGTGCAGCTGCAGCGCCGCAAGGCCCGGGCGGCCGCCCCGCCGGCGAGGCCCGCGTGTGCCCCCGTCGCGCGCACCCTCGGCGCCGCGGTCGTGGCGGCCACCTGCGCCCGGACGTGAGGGCGCGAGCGGCGATCGGGGCTCAAGAGACCTTGGCTTTTTTTTTTCGGCGAGGGCCATCGAGGAGCGTCCCAGTTCATCTGGCGAGAAAAGCACGTACGAAGCCAAACAATGCGCGGGAATGGATCTCCGAGCGATGGCGAGGGCTCAAGAGACGGGGGTCACTGCAAGCGGTGTCAGTCAGAGCGCCCGATCTTATGGAAGAAACATCCCGGGGAGGCTTGTCGGGGGGGCTTGTCCAGAGCCCCGCTGGATTGTCCGAGGGGCTGTCCTGGCTAGGTCGTCTTGTCGTCATGGTATCAACTGCAGAAGGATTGTCAGGGATTTATCGACCCCCAATCTCCCATTGATTGCCGATAAGGGTCTGATAGCCCACCCCCGCCCAGTGACGCTCGGAATTGCTATCGGGGGCCCATCGCCGATCCATCGGCGATGTATCGCCGATTCCAGGTCGATGTCTCCCCCCTTATGGGAGGGGGCTTCCCGCGATCCCAGCTCTGGTGGCGATACATGGTCCAGGGCCCGAGCCGCGAGCACCCCCCATTCCCCAATGCTGACGGGATCGGCCACCCCCCGATGGGTCCCCCCCACTGTTAGCGTGGGGTGGTGCTGCTGTGGAACCCCCTATGGTGTTGCGGTGCTTCAGGGGGCGGGAAGTCGTCGTCCTCGTCCTCGTCCTCGTCGTCGTCGTCGCCGCCTGGTGTCGTCGTCTTCGTCGTCGTCGTTGTCGTCGTCGTCGTCGCGGGGCCCTGGGACCCCTCCTATCTGGAGGGCGGGGGCCCGCGGACCTGGAGCCCTGGAACACATATGGGCCTCTCGGGTGGCACAATGGCGACCACCGGTACCAGAATTGTGGGCCACCTTCCCTCGGCAGAGGCGGCTGCCAGTGGCGGTTCCGGTGCCAGCGCTCCAGGCCCTGGCCTCTACGAGCCCGCCAGTCAGCCAGGTGGCTGCGCGCCTCCTCGAAAGAAGAGCGCCAGGCGAGCTGGCGTCAGCGTGGCAGGACAGGGGCCGGTGGTCTTCAGAGCGTGCGTTTGCCCAGCGTGTGCTACAACCGTTGGTGGACAAGCACGCGCTAACGCTGGCACGCGCCCTACGGATCATCGAAAGAAGGGGGGCGGCAGCGCCGCAGTGTCCGCCGTTCGACAGCCCGCGAGGCCACGGCGCCGTCGCCTCTCCGAATTCGCAGCCCGGCGGAGCAGGTACAGAGCTCCATGCCGCCTCCTCCTCCTCCTCCTCATCCTTTTTCTCCTCCCCCCCATCCTCCTCCTCCTCCTCCTCCTCCTCCTCCTCCTCCCTCCTCCTCCTCCTCCTCCCTCCTCCTCCTCCTCCTCCCCCCTCCTCCTCCTCCTCCTCCTCCTCCTCCTCTCAAAGGTCAGCCCCTAGACCCCAGACCTGTCCCAGGGCGAGTTCTGACCAGAACTGGTGATCATTATCGATGGGGTGGTAGTTGGCGGGGGGCAGTCAAGGAGGGGGGGGAGACACGTGCACATGCTGCGCCCGTGGTAGCAGTCTATGGGCCATTCAGGGCACCCTGAGGGCCCCGTTCCTGCAATCCTCGATCCCCCCTCCCGCTTATTGCCCCCCCCGCGTGACTGATCGCCATGAAGGTCTGTCCCCCTCCGCTCCAGGGTCCCCGCTCCGTCGGGGAGGGTGGAGGAGTCCGAGGAGGGAGGGATCGAGGAAAAAGAAGAAGAAAAGACATGAGCATAAATCGTCGGAGCTGCGTGCTGCTGTCTTGGATCGGCGCGGGACCTCCCGGAGCCCAGCGCCGATCCAAGAAAGCCGCGTGGACTTCCGACAGTTTCTGCTTATGTAGTCTGCTCTTCCACTGGGAGGGGCCAGGAGAGGGGGGGAGTGGGGGCCGGGGGCAAGCAGGGGGCACGAGGGTCGAGGAGGGGGGCCTTGCCGCGCGTCCCCCCCACCTCTTCACCCCCCTCTCCACCTCCTTGCGCTCCTCCCTCGTTCTCCCTCTTCCTCCGGCGCCCCCCTCCCTTGTCCCTCTCCCCTCCCCTTCCTCCCCTTCTTATGACATCCCCATCACCATTCCCCCCTCTGCGCTTTAGAGGGCTGCGCCACGTAATTATCTTACCTGTCACGTTCATAAGCCCGCCATGCAAATCCTCCTCCCGCTCCTTCCCACTCCTCATCTTTCTCTTCACTCTTCCTTCTGCTCCTTTTCTTCCCTTCTTCCCTCTTCCCTCATCCTCCTCACTACATCCCTCCCCGCCGGCCTCCCTTTCACCTCCCCTCGTCGTCGTCCTCGTCCTCCTCCTCCTCCTCCCTTCAAAAATCACCAGACCTGGCCCGTGGCGCGTGCTGGCCACAGTTTCGAGGCAGATCTAGCTGTTGCGACGGGGTCGATCCCGGGAGACCAGAAAAAGGGTGAAAAATGGCCAACAAACACTGGCCCTCGAACCCTGACCCTTGGTCCTCCCTCCGCACTCCGCTTTCCCCTACCATCCCTCCCGCTGGAGCAAGGTTCGGTAGAGCCGAACTGGCAGCCCGCTGCGCCTCGGAACGAGTCCGAGGGGCAGCGGCTTGCCGATGACGCCGCCGCTCTTCAGCCTGCAGCCCATCCCCACGAAGCGAAGGTCGAAGCCCCTCCGCTGTCTCCCTCGCTCGGGAGCTGCCGGAGGTGCTCCTGGTCCAAAGGCGCCCCCATGGCTTCCCGCACCGCTCTGGGGCCCCCCCGGGGGGCCTTGCGGGTCCCGATCTGCCAGCGCTCGGAGGCTCCGCCGCTTCCTCCCTCCTCTTCTCTGCCCAATTCAAGCTTCGCGTGGCCCGCTTAGCTTCGACCGGAAGAGGTGCGCTCTCGACCCGCGGATCAAAAGTCGATCTGCCAGCTCTGGCCCACCACGATGCGGCGCGACACGCCGTCCACGTCCCCACTCCCAAGCGTCGAAGTCCAGAGCTGTTTCCAGTGTCCCGCCCCGCGGAGCGGAGCGCCACGCTAGCCGGTTGCAGGGCAGAGCGTGTCGCCGGGGCTGCCGCCGCGACGCGCGAAACAACAGTGCTTGACCGTACTCTGGGACCCCGCTGGGGCGTCCTTGGGAATTCCTGGGTCTCGATCACGTACCGGTGCGGCCCGATCCGACGCACGCCCTGATCCGCTCCAACGTAACGGTCCGATGCTGACTGACCCTGCTCCGATCCAGCGTGGGATGGGGCCAGGATCGAAATGAATCGTTCCACAGGAGCGCTCTGGAACGGCCACGGCGCCCGATACATCCTCCAGAACCGCCAGGCCCCAGAGATCCCAGACTTACACCGGTAACAATGCTGTCTTGGTCCTGACCTCGTCTTACCAGGCCCAGACATCCGATGTACTGATTTGTTCCATCCGCGGTCCCCAGGGTTCTCGCCCACTTCCCCAATGGGTCGTTTTTCGTCCTGGTTCAATTTCCTGGGGCCCGAAGGTGGCCTCGGGAGGCCGAAATCAAGGAACAGCAACATAATTGCAAAACAGATATTCCACCCGACTCTGGGATCCGACTCAGCGAAACCAAATGCAGCACCGTGACAAATCACCACCAGAGTCCAAGGCCCCATCTTCTTTCTGCGAAATTCTCAGGGAAACGTAAGACTCGAGTGCGCCAGAATTCGGGTGTGCCGACGGGTTTGACGAGCGCGCTTGGGATTTTGACGGTCTAGTTATTGTGTGATGTCTGCAGCGGGAGTTCGCGTCAAATTTCATATTGGGAATCGTCATTTTCCTGACAGCTCCGCCAGGCTAACCCGAGTCCCCCGAACCCGAGTCTTACGTCTCCCCGACATCTATCGAGCTGGATCAGTCTGTGACGGCCTCAAAGTGCAAAACGAGACAAAGCCGCCAGGTGTCAAAAATTGCGACGCCCGAGTGTCAGGTGCAGTCTGGGGGGACGGGCGCTCTGGCAGCACACAGCCCGCCCCGTGGCCAAGGAGGGCGCACACGCCCTCGGCATCCCTCGGACGTGTGCCTTTTCCGAACGGGTCCAGCATCGAGCTAAATCCGTTTCAGCATGGGGGGAGCGGGTCCTGAGGGCAACGGGTCCTAAGCCCCGGGGCCTCATGCTGAGTCGTTTTCTGCCAGTCCCAGGGCCTGTGGAGAGCCCCGAGGCCCGAAAATTGCCAAAAACGTCAGGACACGTTTCCCTCAGGACCCGTTTCCCCTATGGCGACCGTTCCAGAGCGTTCGGGAACGCTCTCAGAGCGTCGCGGAACGCTCTGAAACGGCCGCGGCGGCCGATGCATCCTCTAATCCCGCCGATTCCCAGCGACTTCGAATTTCTATCCGTCCAATGTTGCCTCGACTCTGCCTCCGTCTTACTTCTTCTCCCGGCGGGGATCATCTTGGATCCCGTCGCGAGAAAAGGACGCCCATGGAATCGAAAAAAGCACGGGGACGGGACGTCCGAGCCATGGCGAGGCAGGGGTGGGGGCGCAGGAGGGCTCGTGTCGACTCCTCCGATTCGATCCGATTCGATTCCGATGGCTTCCCATCCCGATTCGATTCGACCTCGGATTCCGATCTGTCGACTCCTCCGATTCGATTCGACCTCGGATTCCGATCTGTCGGTTCGACCTCGGCTCATGTCGACTCCTCCGATTCGATTCGACCTCGGATTTCGACGTGGATTCCGATTTCCTAATGGAGGCCTACTAGCCTGCCGATGTCTGCTGGTTCGACTTCTCCTGGCCCTGCTGCCGATTTCCGCCGATCCGATTCGCTTCGATCGCCGATCCAACTTCTGCGATTCGGGGCGCTCCTGGGGGCGCCCTCTGGCAGCACCCGGCCTGTCCCGTGGCCATGGAGGGTGCACACGCCGACGGCGCCCGCGCGCGGGCCATGCCGACATCGCTCCCCGGAGCGGCCGAAGAGGCCAGCGGGACGGCGGACGCGGCGCAGCGCTCGCGCGGAGAAACGGGCCGCGGAGCGCCGCGGGGGGCGGTCGGCTTCCGCCCGTCAGGGCAGTCCCCGACGTGCTCGCGTCGCAGAACGTTCACGACGGGAGCATTCT